TATTGTTTGGTCAATACCACATACTCTCCTTGTCAATAGTTATTACGTGTGTCGCCATTTATGTTAATCCAGTAATAATTTGAATGTCACAAGGGCAAATTCGGTATATGAATCTTAAACCACCGGATCCTGTTCTAATTGTCCTCTTATTCCTTCAGATTTGGTTACCACATTTGCATGTAATACTCCTTAGTGGTTACACCTTCTATTTTTATTGATGTTCCTCATGACCATAAGTATCTGTGAATAATGTAATTAAGATTTTTTTTTTTTTTGGTAAAATATGTAATTAAGATTTGGTTTTAACTCACTAGGCTAACCTTTGGAAAACTTGGGCATCTGAACTCAATCTTCCAAGTGATAAGGGTTGGCAAACAACAATTTGGGATTTTGACTTAACATTGCTACCAAAATTTTTTTTTTTTTGGGATTTTGCGGAAATGGGACGGAAATTTAAATAGAAAACGGTTTATTTATAGACAGCAACGAGACATGACGAAAACGAAAATGCTTGCCAGTCAATCAATGTTCAAGTTCGATAACGCGACTATAAAGAAAATATCTTTCGTTTAAAATTGTTTAGGTTGTTGTTAATAATACATATTTCTAGCTTGTTTTCTTTTTCACTTCATGTATTCGTTTGCTCGGTTTTGGGTTTTTATTTTGAACAAAGATTAGAAAACACGAACTATGACATTTATTCATAAATTATGGAATATTATATAAAAAAACACTTTGTATAAAACTATAAAAGGAAAACAAAAAAACTAAAATATAGATGATAAATAAAAAGCTAAAAAGAGAAATGAAAGCTAAAAACAACAAAGAGCGTAAATGAAAAGCGACCTTTAAAGGAGAAGACATATAAAGACATGAAATTGGGATCAGACACAAACAGTCGTTGTAGACATTGACTCTCTCTTGTCCTTTTCTTTCTCCCATTTTGTCTTCACAAAATATTTTTATTTTATTTTTAAAATGTTTTTTTTCTATAATAAATAGATAATGATATTTTAATCTGAAATATGTTTGTCCAAAAAAAAATCTGAAAATATTAAGGCTTTTTTAGTTTCGACTCGTACCAACCAAAATGGGCTGGGCCTGGCTACAGTAACAACATGTGAGAAGATTTACAACTCTTTTTTTTTCTTTTTCTTCTCTTCTCTACTATAAAACCATAAACTATGAAAACTGAAAAGATTGTGCTAAGATTTTGTCAATACAGAGAGTCAAGAGTTTTGTAGAACTTCCTCTGCTCAACTTCTTCAGCCAAAACAATTTAATTGTTATAAGTCTGAGAAACCAGAAAGGTATATACAAACCACCTGCAAAAGATATTTCCTACGTTATATACAAACCAAAACCAATTGATATATATATATATATATATATCTATAAGTGAAGTCACAAAAACCTTTTTGTGCTCCACAAGTTATATTTCTATTGTTTCATTGGTGAGGATGCCGGCGTTTGGCTCTGCGATACCCAATGGTTGGTTCTTTTTTATGGCTGTATCTCTTCTTCCTCTTAGGACTGTTAGATGCAATTTTGTAATTACTTTCTGATGCAACAGATTGAAACTTATAAGTGAAGTTTAGACTATTGTTGAAAGATGTTCAAAGCTTACTTGGAGACTGCAGAAAGCAATTTGATGATGAATATAAGAGGGAAGCCTATTAAAGCTGTGGCCTGTTGAAATTTATTAGAACAAGTGACTAAGTTCGGATTTGTAGACTCTAGAGATGGATTGAGTAAACGGAAATTGTTGGAAACACATACCCCAACCCAAGCTAAGTCCATGGTAGCAATCGGTTTCGTGATCTCATTGTTCTTCAGCATTTCTTGAGCCTTGGTTTCAATAGAGAGAAGCTTATCAAAGTGTTATTGTAAGTTGAATGCATAAAAGCTAGTATGCAATATGATGAATATACCTGTTGATGGTAGATTTTCGTTGAGTTAACCAACTTCTTAAAGCCATGTCTTACGTTTTCAGTATATGGCTCTAAGGCAACTTGTACTCTCTCCAAGTGTGGCTTCGTTAAGGTCATAATCCTGGTCGTGTATGGGTGTGTATGTATTCTGATTACCTAAGATAAACAAGACAATGATCACATTGTTTTCTGCAATGTCAGAAGAGAAGCAGATGGAAATATATTAACCTCAAGATAGTAGTATGAAACATCAAATCCTTGGATGAGATGTGGTGTCAAAGCCTGCTTAGACGTATTTAACACCTCGATGGACTTATCGGTTAAATATTGAACTTTTGGTTCGAGATATATGGTTAATGTCACAAATGCATCTTTGATGCTTGGAATCCATTGCTGTAAAGAAATCTCAGATATCGGTATCAAGTAAATGGAAAGTAAACAAGTGTGCAGTTAGAACAAAACTCACTGAATTCAGGGTTTCAATGTGAGGCTCTGACCATTTCTGGACTTGCTCAATTTTTTGGGACACCTGTAGAAGAAAGGACTTGTCTTTAAAGAGGAAATTGAAGACTTTCAGGGTAAATTGTGAATCAAAGACAAACCATTTGAAGAGTGATATGAAGAGTTGGGCTAAGATGCTGATGCCATAGGGTCATTAGATATGCCTGCAAAGAAGGAAAGAAAGGGCCTTGAGTTATCACTAAAATATGCGATGTTACTCGCCTTAAAACTTTATAATTACCTGAGTCTTATCGGTGTTGAGACCAAGTTTAGACAAGAACCATTTCCCATCAATCTGAGAAACAAGAAAAAAGAAAAAGGAAAAGTAGAGTAAGCTCTTGAATATGTACTCAAATCCTAGAGACACCATATCTCTTACATTGTCATGATTTGAGCTAAGTTCTGCAACTTTTATCTCTGCGATTTCAGCTTCCATTTCGAGCCTTCTCGTGCGTTGAATTTCCACTTCCCGTTTTAGTCCAAATACCTGCCAATGCACAAGTGTTATAAAAAAGACTGAATTAAGGTAATGAGGCAAAAGGAAACACAGAATTGAAACTACAAAACCAAACCTGTTTCTGAAGTTCATAAACCTTTTCTTCTACTTCACTGGCGTGCTTTACTGGATTCTCAATCTAAAGAGCATTAATAGTGACTGACTAGAGTTAATAACCAATTCAATCTTTCTTCTACAAAACAAATGAATCAAACCCAAAAGATGAATGAAAAATCTCACTTGAGAAAAATCAATCTCACTCTCAAACAAGTACGATTTCTCCCTGATATATAACTCCAAGCCTCGGATTTTCTCTTCCTTGCTAAGCAATTCTTGGTTTTTCTCCGTAATGATTGATTCTTTAAACAACACACAAAGAAAAAACAAAAAAAAAGCCTCTCAATAGTTTAGCAACCAAACGTTACAAGTAATCTCCAGAAACAGAACGGAAGCTAAAAATGTGAAACGTCTCTCTTTCTAACAAAAAAGGTTAAAAGAAGAAAATTTCGATTTCTTATTCGACCTACATTATCTCAGAAACCAAACAAAAAAACATAACCTTATGTCAAAATTCAATGAAGCGTTACTCATTTCTCCAGAATTTTCCAAAGCAATGCAACAAATATCAAAAGATCTCTTCTCATATTCGTTACAATTATTCATAAACAAAACTGAAGAAATACCCAGAAAACAAAATCCAGCTAATCGTAGAGAAATTTTCAAAAAGACTAAACCTTCACATAGACATTAAAGCAAGAAAATTGCAAAGTTTCTCGAGAAAACATGTAAAACTGAACCAAAATCGAAAAGGGTAAGAGTGATATGAACCGTACGAAGAGCAGAGACAGTGGATTTGAGTTCGTTAAGCAAATGGTTTTGAAGTCCATTGCAGCCATTGTTCTCTGGGGAAGAAGAAGCTTCTCCGTTTACAGTGAATGAAGCAATTTGGAGCGTTACGAGAAAAAGAAACAAAAGTAGCTTAAAAAACGCCATTATTGGAGACTGCAACAGAGGACTTTGCACAGTACGAGAGAAAGAGAGAGAGAGAGAGAGAGAGAGAGAGAGAGAGAGAGAGAGAGAGCGAGTCGCGAGAGAGAGACAGAGACTAACGCGTACCAAGTCAAATAAAGGGTCTTACTATCTTTTCCATAATTACATATCTGTCTATTTACTTTTGATAAATTCTATAAATTGCCCAAATAATTTTCATGAAAGGTGTCAATTGAAAAATATCTTGTGCAAAACGCCTAATTTAGGCGTATCTGAAAAGTCCTAATTAGCCTTAATATGACTCTTAATCCATCAAAAACGGAAGGATATAAACTTAAAATGTTAAAGTATATGTGCCATTATTGTTTTTTCTTTTAATTCAAACTTTTTTTGTTAAGAGTTTCCTTTTATATATAGATTTTCATATTTGCTTTTCCTCTCAAATGTTATAAAAAAAATTGTTGACTTTTTCTTAAACTAATTATTTTGCTGTAATATGGACTTTTATAGTTAATAAACAATATCTATATTAACCAATCACTAGACAATAAAAGTAGTAAAAAGATCGTAAACGTATATTAATTTGTTTTTGTAAAATTTAATTATAAAATATTTATTAAAATAAAAATGAATCAGTAATATAATTTTTTTTCCTATTTTTGTCACAATATTTATAGCTTTAAATACGATTTATTGTACCATCGTATTTTAATGTATGTTAATTTACCATATTTTCTTATTATACCTTTTTCATTATACCGCTATCTCTTATCATATTTTTTTTATTTTTAAATCCGTAAGAAAATGTGAACGACTTAATATCAAACTTTAAAAAGAAAGCTAAAACCATATAACCTCTAATGATCATCACCAATAATCCCCATAGTCTTGCTAAATACACTACTTTATATTTATACCGTGTAGTATTATATGTTGCTACTGTAATTATACGGCTTCAACTACCCCATTTTCATCACTTCTGATTAAAACTACAATAATATTTACACCCGATATTTGATTAAAAATTTATCTATATGACATAATGTTACATAACGACCAAAAAAAAACATAATGTTACATGACATATGTAGTACACTAGTACCAATCTATTCGACACAACCAATAAGTAATGCATTTTTAATTGCCACAATCCCCAACTTTCTTCTTCGTGACAAGAGTAGCCCACATGATTTTAATGAAAGAAAAAAAAAGTTTAGTGCCAATACAAATGTAGTTACATACGAAATCAGTCATATTTAATTATTGATATATAATCATAGAAACAAAGCTTATATTCTTTAACCCAATAACAAGCATATGACACAAGGGGACCTAGACAGTAATAATAGAGTATCCAAGTCTTAAATAATTCACAAGTTATAATACCTTAAAATAAAACTATACAATATAGTAATAATAAAAAAAAAATCAAAAACCTAGTTTTTTGACGCAATAATAATAGAAGCGAACCAAACTTGGCCTCTCTTCTCTCTCTTTCGAGTTTCGCCTATAAATACGATATAGAGACTAGCGTCAAAAGAGTAAGCAATTGCAAAAAACCAAACAAGGTCTTGTTCAGACACTCTCCGTCACTTTCGTTTTTTTTAATATACTTGTCATAGGCTCGTTCTAGACCGTCGGATTATTCCTATTGGTCGTAATCCAACGGTCGTGATCCAATTTGATTAGAAAGAGTCTCATCGTCTCTCAACCACCAGATTCTCTCTTTCTCGTCGTCCTCTCTACGACATCGACCAATATACCAGATCTTCTTCGATCCGCCTCCGTCGCCGTTGCTTTCGTAATTTTATTCAGCCGCCGTCTCCAACTGTTTTTTTACCGTTTCTCGCCGGAGAAGTAGTTTGTGATTGAGATTTATTAGGACATTTAGGCGACCCGATTAATTCTAAAGAGAAGGTTTTGTCGACCTCCCACCGACACCGTTAGTGGTTTGTTCTCTCGATCTCGATCCTTTGCTTTTTTTAATACCTACCCTCCATTGATCTCGTCTCTGAATTTCTCTTTGATTTGTTCATGCGTGTGATTGGTTTTTAAATTTTACTTCTTTTTATAAACTTTTAGGTTGCAGCAATATAAAGATCGTTTTTTTGTTGTTGTAATTGAATGTGATTCCTATTTGTTTCAATCAAATTTGCATTACCTGTTATATGATTGTGGTTTCTGTTGGGTTTAAATGTTCTCTGCAGAAACTGGTGTCGTCAGAGGGGATAAGTCTTTTTGATTTGTGTAATTGTGGGATTATACACTGTTTATGACTATACATACGAGATGGCTTCAGAAGGAAAATTGTTATTTGATCTTAATGAACTTCCTACAGAAGATGATGATGGCAATGATATTGTTGACTGCAATCCGCCACAGATGGCTATCCCCAATACCTCTGCCTTGCTTGCTACATCATCGAGCTCCCAAGATAATGTAAATAGCCGAGTGTTCTCTCACGCGTCAACAGTTTCTGGTTTTCAGCCTTTTGTTCGTCCTATAGCTGCTCAACATACGGGTTCTCTTAAGGAATCATTTGAGGAATCAAAGGTTGCATCATCTATAGTTCCAAATGATGTTGGAGCACCTGAGAGAGAAGAAGGGGAGTGGACGGAGTCGGAGGTTCCTGCCAGTGATAATGTACATAGTAGTTCTGATTATTATACAGTTACAGAGAAAGATAATGGTACAGTAGGATTAGATATCAACTCAAACTCGGCTCTTCAAAAGAGAAACGTCAATCATATTTCAGAAAGCAGTGGTAAAGATAGTGGATCTATTGATAGTCCTCAAGAACAGGGTTTAACGGCCAGGCCGAGAGAAACTAAAGGAGTTGAAGCAAGTCATGCAATCAAGTGCGCAAATACTACTGTCAAAAGAAAGATGGATCATCACAAAGAGACCATGTTGGGAAAGAAACGCCACAGGCAGACCATGTTTCTCAACCTGGAAGATGTTAAGCAAGCTGGTCCTATTAAGACAACAACACCTAGAAGACAGAATTTCCCACAACCTGTCGTCACACGCACAGTTAGAGAATCTCGTGCAGGCCCTCCAACTGCTGAGCAAGGAGGCGGGATTCCAGGGCCTGTTGTATGCCGGGATCAGAAACCAATTGACTTTCCTAATGGTGGCATACATCCAGAAACATCTGAACCTAAGTTAGAATCTAATGGTGAATCACAATCCGGCTCGGCTGGTAAAACTAGGAGGATGAATGGGGATGCAGGACCTTCTGCTGAGGGGACATCGGCATCTGTGTCAAGGCAGGGTTCATGGAAGCAGCCAATAAATTCACGGCAGCTAAAGAGTGGTCATTCGGCAAATAGACAAGTTTCCTTGTGCAGTCAAACTTCTGCTGACTCGAAGTTTGGTAACAAGAAATTTACTTCGTTCAAGAAGCAAGCCACAAATAGTACCCAATACCAAGATACGTCCGTGGAGCGCCTTTTACGAGAGGTGACCAACGAAAAGTTCTGGCATCGTCCAGGTATGTCCTATTAGTGTTTCTGCTTATGGAACATGTGTTTGAGTGCTCCTATGTTTTCAATTAAGTTATCTTCATTTAAGGTAGGAACTTTTATGCCAATTATAATCTACTGCTCTGGTGCCAGTTCCATGTGTCCCGAATCATGGCTCAGTGAGAATCGTAATGGCCACAGGATTTGGAAGGTGATACGATTAAATCATACCTGTAAAAGTAGATGACAGAGCTCTTCTAGTTTGTGTTAATCTTTTTATCTACTTGTCCTGTTTCGTCTCTCAGTTTCTGTAGGAAAAGTTGCTTTATCTAGTTTTCATCCCTGGTACTATCTCTGCCTGCTAAGGCACTAAACACAGGGGAATATAATACTCCATTGTCTTAGACGTGCACTTCATGGTTCATTGTCGATGAATATCATTTATTAGGTTGGCTCTTGGTGGGTTTAATCATCTTGGTTAAAGAGGCTTTTTTGGCTCAATATAGAAATCTGGATGATTTTGTGCTTATCTGAAACCTGAATGGGTCTATTAATGAAAGTAAATATTGGATATTGGTAGGATTTTTGATTGACATGCCTTTGGTCTGTTCTGTACACTTTGCACTGGAATATTTGACTTGTATGGATGATGTTGATTCACTTAAAACTTTTTTCATACGGCCGTTGTTCTCCCTAATATGTCTGTCTTTACTGCCTTATTTCCCATAGTGTAATTGACTCTTTGCATAAAAATTTCTTTTGTATAGAGGATACTGATCTCCAGAGTGTTCCTGAGCGGTTTGAATCCATGGATGAGTATGTTAGAGTGTTTGAACCTTTACTTTTCGAGGAGTGCCGAGCACAACTTTACAGTACATGGGAAGAATTGGCTGAGGCAAATTCATACATGAAGGTCAGAATAAAGTTCATCGAAAGAAGAGAGAGAGGTAAACAGCCCTGCTACCTAATTCACACTTGTAAAGGCCTCTGGGCAACAATGTTGACTCTCTGCTGACTGTTCTCTTTTTACCTGACTGCTAGCCTTTGTTTTGATCTGGTTTAGGATGGTATGATGTTATACTTCTCTCAGTAAATGAATGTAAATGGGCTTTCAAGGAGGGAGATGTTGCTGTTCTATCAAATCCTGTGCCTGAATCAGGTATGGTTGAACTCGTATATTGTCTGCTTGATTTGTATTATTGCTAGTGCTTCTCTGTATATTCTATAATTTTGTTGTTTTTATGTTTAGAAGGAGAGCATGATGATGCTGGGCGTGTAGCTGGTACAGTTAGGAGATATATACCGGTTGATACTCGTGACCCTCATGGAGCAATTTTCCATTTCTATGTTGGAGATACTTATGACTCTGGCAGGTACATGCTTTTTCGTATGTTTAATTTTTTAGCTATCGGTACCATATCTGAGTTTCTACCCATTATTTCCTGTCTCTCATTTCTTTACTTTTTAATTTTATTTATCAGCAAGATTGACGATAATCATATTTTACGGAAGCTTAAACCTAAGGAAATCTGGCATCTGACAGTGCTTGGTTCGATTGCAACCACACAAAGGGAATATGTTGCTTTGCATGCGTTTTCCCAGCTTAACCCACAGGTTGGTTTTTTTTTCCTCCAACAAATATTTCATATATGCTTTCAGTTATGCTGACGCTGGTGAAAATCATATATCCTTCAGATGCAAAATGCAATTCTCAGGCCTAGCCCAGAACAGTTTCCTAATTACGGGGAGCAGACTCCTACAGTGCCCGATTGTTTTACTCCGAGCTTTGCTGGCCATTTACATAGAAGCTTTAATGCTCCTCAGTTAGCAGCAATCCATTGGGCCGCAATGCATACTGCAGCTGGTACGAGCAGTGGGGTAAAGAGGCAAGATCCATGGCCATTTACTCTTGTTCAGGGCCCTCCAGGAACAGGCAAGACACACACAGTTTGGGGGATGTTGAATGTTATCCATTTGGTTCAGTATCAGCAGTATTACACTTCCTTGCTGAAGAAATTAGCTCCTGAAAGTTATAAACAAGTTAATGAGAGCAGTTCGGATAGTATTGTGTCAGGGTCTATTGATGAAGTCCTACAAAACATGGACCAGAATCTATTTCGTACACTGCCAAAACTGTGTGCTAAACCAAGGATGCTCGTTTGTGCTCCTTCAAATGCTGCGACCGACGAACTTCTCTCACGTGTCCTTGATCGTGGTTTTATTGATGGGGAAATGAGGGTTTATCGCCCTGATGTGGCTCGAGTAGGTGTGGATACCCAAACAAGAGCTGCTCAAGCAGTTTCTGTGGAGCGAAGAAGTGACCAGCTACTAGCCAAGTCCCGTGATGAAATTCTAGGACACATGCACAACCTTCGAGCACGAGAAGCTCAGCTATCTCAAGATATTGCTGGACTGAAAAGGGAACTAACTGCTGCAGCTTTTGCTAACCGTTCTCAGGGATCTGTTGGCGTTGACCCTGATGTTCTTATGGTTAGAGACCAGACAAGAGATGCAATGTTACAGCGTCTTTCTGCTGTTGTTGAAGCCAGAGATAAAGATCTTGTTGAAATGTCTCGCCTTCTTATTGTTGAGGGAAAGTTTCGTGCTGGTAATAATTTCAATCTTGAAGAAGCTCGCGCAAGTCTTGAGGCAAGTTTTGCAAACGAGGCTGAAATTGTTTTTACAACTGTATCAAGCAGTGGCCGTAAACTATTTTCTCGTCTTACACATGGCTTCGATATGGTGGTCATCGACGAGGCTGCCCAAGCTAGTGAGGTTGGAGTTCTTCCTCCCCTTGCGCTTGGTGCTGCACGATGTGTACTTGTCGGTGATCCTCAGCAGCTTCCTGCTACAGTTATTAGCAAAGCCGCTGGGACCCTTTTATACAGTAGAAGTCTCTTTGAAAGGTTTCAGCTAGCAGGTTGTCCAACTTTGTTGTTAACTGTTCAATATAGGATGCATCCTCAAATACGCGATTTCCCTTCAAGATATTTCTACCAAGGACGCCTCACGGACAGTGAAAGTGTTTCCACTGCTCCTGATGAGATTTACTACAAAGATTCCGTCCTGAAGCCTTACCTTTTCTTTGATATTAGCCATGGACGGGAATCCCATAGAGGTGGATCGGTATCTTATGAGAACATTGATGAAGCTCGCTTCTGTGTTGGGGTGTACTTACATCTTCAGAGAACTCTGAAGTCATTGGGTGGGGGTAAAGTCTCTGTTGGGGTAATTACCCCATACAAACTGCAGCTGAAATGCCTGAAAATCGAGTTTGGAAATGCTTTGGGCCAAGATGAACTGAAAGAGATTTATATCAATACTGTAGACGCGTTTCAGGGTCAAGAACGTGATGTCATAATCATGTCATGTGTTCGTGCTTCCAATCACGGGGTTGGCTTCGTTGCTGATATCCGACGGATGAATGTTGCTCTCACCCGTGCGAAAAGGGCTTTATGGGTATTATGTCTCTCGATGCACGTACATTTTTTGGTTAAATATGTCTGGTTTCTTGTTAAAGTTTCTGAGGCTCATTTTTCTTGAACAACAGGTGATGGGAAATGCATCTGCTCTAATGAAGTGTGAGGATTGGGCAGCATTGATCACTGACGCCAAAGCAAGGAACTGTTTTATGGAGATGGAGTCTATTCCCAAGGATTTCCCGGTTCCAAAGGTACCTAGCTTTATCCCAAAAGCACCTAATGCTAGAGGTTTCAGATCTGGTGGGCCAAGAACCAGATCCGTCGAGATGCACCCTGAACCCCGGTCAGGGACACCATCAGAAGACGACGAGAAGCTGAGCACGACAACGTTGCCAAGAAATGGAAATTCTCGAAGGGAGAACTCAGTTGATGATTCTGATCCGCCTGGGGACAGATATAGAGATGCTTGGCAACATGGGATCCAAAGGAGGCAAAATTTTGGACGGCCTTTAGGGAGAAGAGACTAATTTATAAATTCCAACTGGTCTGAACTTCATTCACTGGTGGAGATAATGTGTTACTTGAGATCTCAGAGCATCCGACCTAGCTTCACGGTTTCACAGGGTCATCACCACGAAAGGGTGACTCGAAGTCATGAACTGTCGAAAAGAGGAATGCTTGAAAGCTGTGTACGTCAAAGGGTAACATGCTCACCTGATTTTTGCTGGCGAAAGATGATTCCTGCTATTTCTTTCAAAGAACTGGCGCTCTTCTGCTCCCAGATTGCAGACCTTCTTGAAGAATCATGTCTGGTTCTCTGTGCTTCATTTAAAATCTGAGATGGACCAGTCAGAGACTATACTATAAAATTCAAGGGTGAATCCACTTGAATGAAGTCAGAAGCTGCCGATAAACGTAAGAGCTGGACTCATTTACAGGAACTATGAAGCAATTCCTGCATTGTCGAACACTGTCATGCAGTGCAAAACAACAAAAGAATGATTAGTCGATAGGTTCACACAGTCGTCGGAAATGGCATTCGAAGGTAGTGTATAGCGAGTGGGGTTAGGATGATTGTTTAGTCTCTGCAAAAGTTCTTAAGAGTATCACCATACCACACTGACTAGTCCACTGTGTTAGCGTTTTGTACATAATCCCACCATATCTATAATTTATGAAACTTGGTTCTTTTTTTCCTTCATTCAATTGTTTGTCGTATATTTTGTTAATCGTATCAATGAAGAATCATATATTCTATAGCTGTCAGGTACTCTTTAACAGATTCATCAGGATCATGTACTCATGGAAGACGTGTTTGGTAACACCAATTTTTTACTTGAGATAAGTTTTAGCTTTTAACTGTTTGTACCCTTGTGCGAACAAATCTGTGGCCGATGCTAACAGGAGAAGATTGAAAGATAAGTTTACAATAGGATCATTCACATCTCCTTGATGAATCACATGGTTTCTCGATCAATTACATCATCCTTACTGATGTTTGCAAGATGAAAGGTTATGAGTACAAATGTGAGCGAGAAGCTAAAGCTATTCAATCACAATCTCTTTCAAGCTTCCAATGCCATTAGCCCTTGTGTGGTGGTGATGGTGACTGCAACACTCTTTAGCATAGCTACTGCAACAGCTGCTACCATGGTGGCTCTTCTCTCTGCTGCTACAGTTAGACTTGCAAGCCTTCTTCGTTTTTACCTGAGAACTGGCTCCTTCTTTGTCCCTCTTAGAACTTTCACAGCAGCTTGACTTGCTATGTCCATCGCTCTTCACTTTCAAGCTAGTCACCGCGAGATCAGCAGGACTTGAACAACAACCTTTGACCGAGACTTTTACTTCCTCTTGCTCATCTCCTTCCAGATTGACTACGGTTGAAGAACCTTCATGTTGTGAGCCAGTTCCAATGTCCAGGCCAGATGGCTTGTTATGACAGCTTTGTTGCACCTCGTGTTGATTTGGTTGTTGACTCTTGTTACCACAACACCCTGAGTCATGGCCTTGTACTAAATCAACAGGTTCTGCACAACTGCTCTTTTTCACAACCGTTACATTGTCTTTCTGTTTCTTCTCACAACAACCAGAGTGACTATGGTCCGAACTGGATTTAGCTGGTTGCATCACTTTCACTTGAGTCTTCGTTCCACAGCAGCCTGACTTGCAATGCTTATCGCTGATCTTTGGTAATAAGCCTGCTTCCATGTCCCCAGCAGCATCACCTTCAAGTTTCTCCACTATAGAAGAAGAAGAAGACTCCCTATAACATTTGTTTCCAGTTTTATGGTTATCACTGAGCAACAACATGCTATTGAGGATCACAAGCAGACAAGTTCCTACATCTGCAAGAACAGCTGCCCAAATCAGCGGATGACCGGCAAATGCCAACGCAAGAATAGCTCCTTTCATAGTGATCGATGTGACCACGTTCTCCACCACTTTCCTTTTCGCTCTTCTCGCAAGTTTGATTGCCTGCGGTATTCTTCTGATGTCATTGGACATCAGAATTATATTACCAGTCTCTGTTGCAATTGCAGAGCCGGAAACACCCATTGAGATACCAATATCCGCTGTAGCTAAAGCTGGTGCATCATTCAACCCATCCCCTACCATAGCTGTTGACCCTTCTTCTCTCATAAACTCTTTGATGATTTCAGATTTACCTTCTGGAAGAAGCTCCGCACGAACAATATCCATAGCATTCCCAAGCTGTTGGTTCATATAACATTTCAAGTTTTCATTAGTGGGATTTACTAAGTTTCAAGAGAAGCATCAAACTCATAAAAAAGATTACTCACCTGTTCTTGAGCATGCATTGCAGCGGCTTGATTATCTCCGGTCAGCATCGCAGTCTTAATTCCCAAAGCTTTCAATTCTTTCATTGCTTGAGCTACACCAGATCTACAAGCATCTGAGAGATTGAAAACACCTGACAGTGTTTTTCCAACATAGACATATCCAATTGTCTTTCCTCCTTTTGTATCAACATCAACATCTGGAACTGTGTACATACCAAAGCAAAGAACCATTAGAGACTAAAGAAAGACCAAAAACCTCTATGTATTAATTTTGATATATACCTGATGAACACCCAGATCTAGAAGCAATCCTTTTGTTACCAATATAGACTTCTTTGCCATCAATCTTCCCATAGATTCCTTCTCCTGGGAAGTTCTGGTAATCCTCGACCGCTTCAGGCTTAGGTTCAACAGAGACAGATTTTGCATAGTCCACAAGTGCAGCAGCCATTGGATGGCTTGACTTGCTCTCTGCGCTTGATACCCTGATACAAGTCATTCCAAAATTCTCACACAAATCCAAAAAAATCCCAAGTGTCTTTGATAGAAGAGATGTTTCACCAGTAAAGCAAGCTGTGCAGGCTTATATCTTCAGAAAGTGACTGGAAATCCATGACGATGAACTCGCCTCTAGTGATAGTCCCGGTTTTATCAAAAGCAACAACCTTGATCTTGGCTAAAGTTTCAAGATAATCAGCTCCTTTGATCAAAAGTCCTGATGTGGCTGCCTTAGTGAGTGCACAGAAAGTGGCTACTGGTGTCGAGAGGATAAGCCCACAAGGACAAGCACTAACTAACACAACTAGTGCTAAGTGAATCCAATGCTTCAGGTTGTGAACCTTCAATGCGAATGGGATAGCCGCAAAACAAACTGATATCAGGATGATCGCTGCAAACAAGCAAATAGAATTTGAAGTTCTCAATCAAGAACAGAAATACAGGTAATGAAGAAAAACAAAATCAGGTGCTGATACTAACCTGGAGTATAGTACATGGAACATTTGTCTATAAATCTCTGAGTTTCAGTTTTGCTGTTCTGAGCTTCTTCGACAAGCTTTGCCATCTTCGCAACCACGCAATCCTCAGCTAGAGCAGTGGTTTTCACAGTTATGTAACCTTGAAAAACAGAGGAGCTAGTTAGATCAAACATTGAAGGTAAAGATCATAAGAAAAATAAGTGGAAATCTTGAGTCATATAATACCATTTAGATTGATGGTTCCAGCCCAAACCGTCGAATCTCTGAGTTTAGGCACGGGGAATGCTTCGCCGGTCAAGGTTTTCTCATCAACTTCACAGTTTCCATCCACAACAACTCCATCAATTGGTATGGTTTCACCAGCTTTGACAGCTATAACTGTGTTGATCTTGAGCTCATCCACTTGAACTTCTTCTCCAGTTTCTGCAATCATTGCCTTTTGTGGAGCTAAACTCATCAAAGACTGCATCACTGCACTTGCCTGCAATGTGTAAACACAACTACTTGAGCACTCACAAAAAAATTGACACATGAATCAAAAGAGATGAAAGAGGTGGAAAACCTTATAGCTAGCTCTTGACTGGAGCCATTCAGCGATTGTGAATAAGAAGACAACTACTCCAGCTTCTGTGTAATCTCTCATACCAATTGTTGCTCCAACTGATTGAAACAACAACGGAAGAGCATTTTAACTATATAAGATATTTGAGTTCACAAAGACCGAGTTCAAATTATTTCATATTTTTTCTACATTATAACTGCAACATGATCAATATAAGTTTTGAAGTAGACTCTATAACCTTCATTTTTTGTTGAATTAGTAAGTAGAAGTTATAAACATTTTCTAACAAATACTACTATATGTTACCAGATATTTTATAGATTTTCTTTTTTCTTTTCTCTTTTGGTCTCAAAGTAGCATAAAAAGGCCAAATGCAGAGGAAAGACACACACCAAACTACAGAACAATTGCTTTTGTGCTGATCATAATATTTCTAACTAATCACAATATTATATAGACACATACTACTTATATTTATCACAACTATTAGTATTTTTTAAAATTCACCTTAATTAATATTATGAGAAATGTGATTCATATCATATAAATTGGGGATTCACTCCTCATAATATATATTAATTATAAGAAAAAAGAGCGGAAACATTACCAGTTATAATAACAAGAATGTTGATGTCGATTCTAAACCTTGCAAGGGATGCTACAGCTTTGGCCAGTATTGGATAAATTCCGGCGACGACGGCTGCGACAGCGAGCCAACGGAACGGAGAGTAAAGGTATTTGAAGAAAGAGAGGAGGAGAAGTAGGCCGGAAACCATCGCAAAGGGACTTGGCCATTTATTCCTGAAATTTGTTTCTCCGGTTACCCTCACATTTGCTTCTAACCGTGCTTGGTTCAGTGCTTTCACTGTAACCACGATTATTTATTAGTATTAAACATATTCATATTCATATTTCTTGCAACAATAATTATAGCATTATTTTATAAAACTATAACTAAACTTGATGCGTCAATGGAAAAAAAAAACAAAAGAAACTACAAAAAACGAAGGAAAATTTATAAACGTTAATTATGTGAATGATGATGCGTTACATAAAAACTGACATTGTTATTACATTTAGATTTTTTTTTTAACAAGCCTTTATGGACACCAAACAGAACAAAAACAAATATTTCGAAGATATTTAATACTATTTAAAGTGTTAAGTAAAAAACTGCCTAAAATTTTAGACTCACAACCTAAGACTAGACTAACTCTTTTATTGATATAGCAAAATATTTATTTACGATAATCTTCCCTAATCCCTATTATTGAATCAAAGCAAAAAAAAAAAATGGTTGAAGTAAAAAATTACTAATTGAAGTAGAGATGTAACTAATTAAAATACCTACATAAAGACAAATAAATGTATGTAAATGTAAATTGTAGAATTAAATGTCTGAAAACGACGTTTGCGTTTTGCAGCAGCGACGCAAAAAGCTTTATTAAATTAGCCACAGAGAAGCTTTTACCGATTTGGAACTGGGAGAGGATGAGAGTGTCGTGGACGACGATGACGGTTCTTGACGGAACAATAACAGAGTATTCTTTAACACCGTCCATGGATTTGAGAATGTTCTCAATCAACGGAACCTCCGATGTACAGCAAATTCCAAGAACATCGAAGTAACTCTTGGTCATCTTCTTCGACGCCATTCTTGTTTAAGGATTCTGCGAGAGAAAAAAAAAAAAAAAAATCAGAAGCAAAGATTTTATTGTGGGAATCTGATTTCTTGGTTCATGTTTATTTTCCCAGCACGATTTTAAGGGATGCATGTAACGTGTTTTAAAGAAGATGTGTATGAATGATAACGTTGTCGTGAAGTTCACTCTACACTTGGCCAACAAAAAAAAAAGGATTCGATTTTTTCGGGCATGGTTATTGATTTTCGAAATCTTGAGAATTCTAAAAAGAGCGTAGAGATAGATCATTGCAAAATTATTAAAATCTTCAGTGAGGAGCTTCTCTAGCATCAGAAGTTAGAAGGAAAAAAATCATACGTAAATTTCTCAAAATTGGCTAATGCGAGTGAGAGAAAATAAAGAGTCACGAAAACAATGCTAGAGAGAAAGAGCGTTTCGAAGCCGTCATGAAATCTATGTGAAGAAGACATAAGAAGAAGAAGAGTACCGGAGATAGAGACAAAGCTTAGCAGCTGGACAGAGAACAATGACCAAACCGGTTTGGTTCGGTTTGGTTCGGTTTAGATGCTTTGTTAATTAGCCAGAAGAGAGAAGAGTTTTTTTTTTTTTTTGATGTAATGATGAAATGACTTGAAGGTGAAAGAGGATGAGAGTGGCAATAGCTTTTTATAGGGAAATGTGTTAGAAAGTGGAAATAATGATCATTGGTGGGTTTAGTTTACTTCCATAGAATCCTTGCCATAATTATATTCTTTCCAAATTTTAATTTCATTTGTTCTGACCAAATTTTTTTTTAAAGAAGCATTTTTATCTTACTTGTAAAGAATCCTCGAATATATTATTCTTAATAATGTAAATTCCATAGTACTGTGGTAGGCTGCTGCTTCTTTCAGATTCCTATTCTCTTAACCTTCCCATCTAATTTTTGTTTTTCTTAATGTGTATATTACTAGAAAAGTGAAATTCGATTTTATCCGGACATATATATAATACTTTTCGAGATTTGTACCTTGAAGGATTCGATATAATTTTGTTCTACTGCCTCATTTTACTTTTTAGATATACGTGTGTCATGTGTGGGAAGATGAATTTGCGCTAAACACTTTTACAAAAATGATTAATCCCTTTGATATATTTGGGGGGAAAAAATGCATTAAGTTGAGTTAAATAGTTTTTGGTAGTCGTAACATATTTTTGCAACTCGTTGACTGGTAATTCATGGGTTAATATATTTCATCTGACCCCATGAAGTCATGAATGGTAAAGTTATTGACAGAATCACTTACTCACATACCAAAATGAAATTATATCATTGTACGTAAGACTGGTAGGTCTTAATCTTGTAGGTGAGAGACACGAGAACAAAGGTGTATACATAACATAGTGAATAATCCACTGTACAATATTAGAGAATGGAATCCATGTGTGATTCCTCATTTGGAATAGTTTAGTTTTATTTTTATTTTTGCATTTCTTTCTTAATTTTCGTATGCTGGATTTAATTACAAAACCTTGCAATGCACATATGTCTTATAAGAGCCAATTAATACGTTGTAAAATTTTGGTCTTTATATTATTATTATATATATTTTTTTTTGTTTTTTGTTTTTTGATATACCCGATCGGCTGATCCAGTCATCTCCGGGGGAAACGCACCAAAGTGCTACCATGTGAACTCGTGACCAACACCTAGGTGTTGGACTACCACACTGCCTAACCCCGAATTTGGAATACTTTCCGACTAATGCCCAGGGTATCCAGTTAGTCTAATCCCAGATAACATGTAAATTGTTTGGGCCAAAACGCAAGCCCAAACTTCCCACACAAATATAATTTTTGTTTTCAGGATGGATCGAACTTGGGTTGGTTCCTTCCAATATTTCTCCGATTCTCCCTTATCACTAGACCAGAACGGTGTCTTTGTAGCATAAAGTACTATTCTCACAACTAAATGATATCGTGCATGCTTGATAGAACTGAGTTTTTTTATATCACATTGAAAACTATATAAAACAAAAGCTTCGATGATTAGATTTTTTTTTTAAGGGCTTCTATGATTAGTTTCAGACGTTTATACACATGTTTGGTTAAAAACAATCACTACGGTATACGGTATAGTAGATATTGTGAAGATATAGCTCAATTGGTTATCCTCGAAATCTCGAATCATATGTAAAAAACATGTTTGTGGGTTATTATAGGGCCTGATTGGCAAGTTCTTTAGAGTCTTTACAAAACAAAAAATTCTAAAGATTTAAAATACATCCAATCAAGTTTTAGAAGCTTTGGCTTTCCTTTTTTTTTTTCACAGCCAAAATATTTCTTTAATTCATTTTTTTATCTGTTAGAAAACCTTTTTTCCTAAAACACATAATTTTCAATTTTCCAAAATTTTAAATTCTACAGCCAAAATACTACAGCAATAAAATCTACAGCCACAACAAATAAACCTACAGTCATATTTCTACAGGAAAAAATATAAAGCTACAGCTGTTACCAATCAGGCCCATAGTTTCAAGCTTTTAACACTAATCGTTAAAAAATATCATTTCAAAACCATTACAAACATTCTAATCCATAATTAAAAATTTTTAATATAGTTTATCATGGACTTATTTACTGCAGGTTCATCTAAAAATGTGGATTAAAAAAAATTAACATATTTCAAAGAGAGAAAAATAAACTAAGTCTCTGCATTATTAAGCCCATAAACAAAAAAAACATCTCTCTCTCTGCATTACTCATAAACAAAACAAAACACAATCGTATGAACACTTGATTATACTAGTTATTTAGAAATTTTATTTTCTTTATTCAAATATGTTATGTTCTAAATGTGAGATTTTAATATATAAAAAATAGTAAAGATAAACATGTAATTGTTCCAGATTCGATAGCGGCCCCACAATAATACAACTTGCAAACTTTACTCATATACCACCCAATGGCGGAGCTAGAAATTTATGTTATCAGAGTCAAAAAAATTTTAAAAAATAAAAATAGTAGACTAAACAATTTGATATTTTTTATTTGTGTGTTTTCTAAAAACTGAATTAATATTAGGTAAATATATCTTTATTTATAGTAAATTATGGGTCTAAAAGTATTTGGACTATTTTTTCTTCCATGATGCAACATTAGTTTTGTATTGGGGTCAAAATATATTCAAAGTTGGGGCTATTATAATTATTGCTAATGACATATAATGGATTTTTGAAAATTTATGGGGGTCAACTGACCTTTTTCGGACAGAAACTATATAATCGTCAAACCCTTTAACAAAACAAAAGAGATATAGTCATCAACATTTTTTTTTTGGTTTTAATGTGAAGATTTTATTCCAAAGGAAAATTACAAGCTAACTAATGTTACAAAGCTACCCATTAACACAGGAACAAGAGCTACCCATTAATATAGTCATCAACATTATGAGAGAATCTGAGTATAACTCAATTTGTAATACCGCAGCAACTCCTAATTACCATTGCCATACATAGGTCTCTTTCGTCGACCAGTTTGCCATTTTTGAAAATCCTACAGATTAGTACAATATTTCTCAAAATTAATTATCTTCACTTGCACATATTTCTCAGTATAGCCACTAACCCACTAACCATAAAAATTTCAAAGTTAAATACATATTCTATAATGTTTTCCTGTGGCATCTATAAAAATCTTGAGCATAATTATGTATTTCCATCCCTACTCTGATAGAAAATGACGTCTTTGTAATCCATATATATGCTTCAAATCATAACACAAACAAAAACAAATGATGATTTTGAGGTGAAACAAACTCAGCCATCAGAGTTTTTTTTGTTTTTTTTTTAAATATAGATATTATGGCTCATATACTCCATTTTTTTCCCTTTCTTAGGGCATCTCCAACCCTACTCTATTTTAGAGTAAAAATACAAAATTCTTCTCCAACCCTACTCTATAATTGACTCTAAAATAGAGATTTCTGCAGATTGACTCTATATATAGAGCAACTCTATTATCAACTCTATTTTTGAGTTCAACTTTTTTATTTATACTTTAGTCCCTCAAATTTTAACTTTTTTATTTAATACATATAATCATTTTATAAACAACAATTACAACACATAGCTTTATAAATTTAACAAGCAAACAAGTACTAAATTTAAAATAAACAACATAAGAAAACTAAAACATAAAACTAGTAATTTAATAGTCTGGTAAATTCCTTGTAGATCCGCCAAGATAGTTAAAATATTGTCCAAATGAAGTAGATGGAGGAGGAGTTTTTTATTTTGATCTTGTTGGACACGTCGTTTTTGCAAAATTCGTGCTTGTTCACTCTCAAAATATGCCCGAACATTTGGGTTTTGAAAGGAATTCAAATCACATTTATTTTGTTTTCTTACTTTAGCTCATTCAAAGCATAATATCCGGTTTCAAGAGTTTCTTGGTTAATTTAAAAAAATCAAAGATAAAGAAGCTCATTTCTCACTACGAAATGCTTTAATTGATCATATGTAGGAAAAATATTCTAATGGTGTTATTTAAAATAAAATTTGTAATGTTTTATTATTGTTATATGATGTAATGTTTTTTTTTTTAATAAATAATTAGTGTTTAATTTAAATAATTTCATATTTTATGGGAATTTTGCAAATCTATAATATATGGGGTCAAATTGTAAATTATATAATTAAAAGGCATTAGTATATAAAATAGAAATAGAATATTTCTAAGAATATTCTTTTTTAGAGTAGAAAATAGAAATATACATTGGAGAGAAACCCTCTTCTAAAATAGAGTTTTTAGAGTAAGATATAGAGTTCTATATTGGAGATGGTCTTAATGGTCATTTTTAACGCTATTAACACCTTCTACTGTTGTACAACCAAAGACTGCCAAACATTTTTCTTTTCCTATCCTAACTTTTTTTTTCTGTGAAACCACAAGCCTAACTTATTACTTCTTTTGACCTATATTTTCTATAGCTGAAAAATTTACAAATGTGTCCCTTTGAGATCTTAAAGACTAAAAATAATTTGCGTAAAAAGACTAAAAGAGACTAGAAATAATTTAAGCAGCACACTTCCACTATCTTTTTCAAAAGGTTTTCGAGTAGTGGAGGAATCTCCCAATGTCTCAAAACAAAACAAAAATAACTTGCTTTCCTTTTATTTAAAATATATATATCAAAGTAAAAGGCAACGTAAATGAGCCAAACACTAAATAGATATTATAAACAACATATAAAACATGTCTAGTGGAAAAAGGGAATATAATTTTAATTTGAATTGCAATGATAGATATCCTTCTTTGTGTTTCGATAAGTCATTCTACTTATATTTGTTCCACCACCTGATACATTAAAATATTAGTTCCCGAAACTTCGGAACTTTTTATCAAAATAGTAACTTACCTTTTTAAAATCTATTATATATTATTGCTAAAGATTATCAGAAAAATTTGTGTGAAAAATATTAACTTTGAAAGGAAAGATAAGGATACATACACACTAGCAAATTTTCTGAATAATTCAGTGAATTTGTTTCTTTGATAGCGTATACTCTACCTCTGGAAATTTTCCCATTAGATAAATAATGTACTTAATCTCTTTTTGTCTTCC